GCCGCCGCCAACGCCCAATGCACTTTGTCCCGCAGGTGCTGGCTGCCGTGGTGCTGCTTTCCTGGGGCTTCGTCCTCTACGGGGCGCGGGTGGCCGCCCAGCGGCAGCGGGAGAGCGGCCTCCTGGCCCAGGGGCTGCCCTAGGCGATGGCAGAGCCCATGGGACACCGCCGGGAGCTTGGCATTGTCTCCGAAGGAACGGAGGAATCCGTCGGAAGGCTGGAGGAGCCCTGTGGTCAGTTGGGCAAATAAAGCATAAATAGCTGTTAGGACAGAAAAGGTAAATAAAGCATAAGCAGTTACTAGGAAAAAGATTTTTCCTTACGGATTTGTACTAGCACGTATCTGTGAGAGACGCATGTACCCGTATGCGCAAAAAAAAGACACTGACACGGCCAGCTCTACAGAGGGCCACAGACAAGGCGCTGCCTTCTGCAGCACCTGCATGTAGTACTGCCAGGACTCACATAAGACGTGAGCGCAGCCAGCCATGTCCCTTTGCTCCTCTACAGCCGGTAAGCATTGAGGTTCACTAGCGAAAGCACACACGGGTTCACAGATCCCCTGAGTACCAGCACAGCCTTTCTGTCCATCTGATAACCCTGCCTCGTATCCTGAGCCCTCTTACTCCTCTGTACCAGCTGGTCCGGCTTCCTGCTCACGAGCAAACAGACACGCATGCACTGACCCGCTTATCCAACAGATGCTCCGCACCCACATATCTCCCCAAATACCAGCATGGGCCTATGCCCGATACCCTGCCTGGACCCAGGGCCTCCTACTCGCCAGGTAGCCCAGCTTGAAGTTTGTTAAGGAGTTGCATCCCCACCCCCAACACTTTTTCCTAGTGTTTGGGGGAGTTGCAACCACTTTGGCTCCCCAGCGGGCAGCAGCAGGCACGTGGGCTGTGACCTGCACTCGCTTCACGTGCTGGTGCCAAGACTCGCTTAACTCACCCCGGTTCCCCCAGTAGCTGCACCTGGGGCACACATACCGGTCCTGTCCCAGTGGCTGGAGCTGAGACCCTAACTGTCACCTGCGCCCTTTTCTGGTGCCGAGACCCTTGCCCACTCCCATTGCTGGCACGATGGGAGGGATCCATATCCAGAATGGTCCTACTCGGTCAACTTCCTAAATGCTGTGTGCATCTGTCAGCTCTTGGGCAAGGTGGGATCCACTTTGGAGGCCCCAACTCTGGAACTCCCCAAGTCACCAACATGGGAAGAGAGAAGGTGCACCAGGCTCTTCACAGGGAAATTTTCATTTATGAGCTGAAAAGAAGCAATTCTGGGAAGATAAATGGATCTGTTTTGGGGTGCTGGGTTTATACACAGCTGGGAAGAGCAGAAGTCTTGTGGCTCTTCTCCCATAGCCTGCACAGGCCGGCAGCACCTCATCCCACCCACAGACCTCTTGAAGCCAGGGAAAAAGCCGCCTCCTGGGGAGGCCTGGCCCTGCTTCCTGGGCCGTTGGGTCCTCTGGGGTCCCTTGGTCAGCGGCAGGGGTTTTCCCCACCAGCAGCTTTGTGGGAGTGAGCGTGGAGGGGCCTTGGTCTCGTCCTCCTGAGCAGCAGCCACAGCACCAAGCTGTTGACAGTGGGACCCACAGTCCCTGGGGGGAGACAACCCCGAGCCCTCTCTCTGGCTCGCCCTGGCACCAGGAACGATGCCCTCTTGGGCACGGCAGCAACAGCTCCTCTGGGGAAGGAGGTCGGCAGGAGGCTCAGGCTATTCGATTTCTGGGGTTTTTTAGCATCTCCCGTGTTAGCTGCATCACCCTGCAAATACATCAAAATTGTCACAGACCCCGGCAATGCCCCTACAAAGGTTTCTCTGCTGACAGAGAGGCTCTCCGCCTCTCCACTGACTTTTTCTCTGAGCCAAAGCTGAGTGGCCGGATCGTCCTTCGCTGACCACGCAATGAGAGCTCAGCTTTGGTGCGCTGTTGTCCTCGCTGTGGTGGTCAAGCAGTCTCCAGGTGCAGTTACCTTCTCCTTCCCCTGGCCAGCTGGGCACTTCCACCAGCACGGTGCCAAGACCAGGAGTGACGGGCGCGGGGCTGGCTGGCTGGTGTGTTAGAAACACCCTCTGACCACCAGCCTGCCCCAGGCTGTGGCCTCTCACTGTTAGCTTCTCCGCCTTTGTTTCAGATGCCACCACTGGCATGCACCTATAGCTGCAGGTGGGCTGGTATCGGTCACCGCGGGGTTTCGGGTTGCTCCGCCCCGTTGCAAACCTTCTAAGTGCCACTTTGCAGCCACTGCGACAGAAATCACCCATTCTGGCTTTGTTCCTTCTGGGTAGCGAGTGTTCGTGATCACACAGAGCTGGTTTACCTGCGAGCTGCCGCGAGATGGCAAAATACTCCCCAGCATCGCTCCCAAGCCTGCTTGCCAGCACCGCAGGCTGGAGCCGTGCAGGGCTGCAGGGAAGCAGCAGCACCGGCTGAATTTCTCTCCCCTCGGCTTAGCTGCTGCTCGGCGTGTTCAGGGATGCCTCTCCAACAGCCTGCCCGTTGTCTCTGGTCCCTGGAAGTCCAAGGCTGAGCCTACGACTGCTCACAACAGAAACGAAACACCCGAAAATGTCCCTGCTGCTGACTAGGACCTTGCACAGTGACAGCAAGGAGGCAGAAAGAGAACTTGCTCTTTTTCTGGCACGGTCCTCAGCTAACTGAGAAAACCGTGTGATGTTTCTGCAGATATGAAGAGAACCAAGAGTCTCAAGAGCTTTTTCTTCTCTGCCCTGCCCTGACCACTCTCCCTCTTCTCCTGTGCTGTTATCACAGCACCATGCCAGGGTCGTGTCAAGGCTCCAGGAAACATCCTCAGCTCCACATCCTGATGTTTGCCTGAAGCCATGTCAGGATGATGGCAGTAGCAAGAAGCAACTTTTTTCTCGCAGGTAACATGGGAGTGGGATCAAAGCCCCCACAGAGGTTGGGAAATACCCCCTTCAAGTCTAGTGGGGAGGACACAGCTTGCAGCTTCTGCCTCTG